TATATATATATATATATATTTTTTATATCGTCCATCTCTCTACCATGAATTAACATAAAATGCATTATGTATATTAATTGCTCGATATGCATCATTTTCATACTTTATCAATGAAACGTCAACACAAATCTTTTAATCTCATTGAGCGAATCTTCACCCGAAAAAAAATGTAGCTATCGGCCCTTATCTACGTAAACCACAACAAATTCCTTTAACATCACTCACATTCTTTACAAAAAGAAAAAGGATATTTTGAAACCGCAAGATTTTTTGTTTTTCACGATCTTAACACGTTTCCATCAAATGACGCTCATGTAAGACTTCGGCAGACATCGTAATTAAAAATAAGTTACGCTCCTGTATTTGTAAACGCATAAATTTAAACGACTATTGTAAAAAAATGGATGATCAATGACATACGAACGAGAATTAATTTGTAACTATATCATTTGTTTGTACGCTTATCTCTAATATTCTTTTTTTCTTTTGCCGAATAGAATGACAGAAGAATAATTCTGTTTGCAGTTATCTCGCAAACAAAAATGCGCCGGCTATAATTCAATTCATGAAATATAATACATTTCGCTTGATGAGAAATATGTTATATATACACATTATAATTATAATTGATATAATTGTGTGAATGATTCATGGACATCTGTTTCGCATTATTATATGGGGTGTGCACAAAACCGGATCGATTACATTATCAGACATGTTTTTATCGCTGCACTGGATTGCATTAAAACTTTTTATCTCGTCTTCATCTCAAATTATAAATAGATTTTTACTTCATTTTAAATACACTACGTTAAAAAAAAAAACAGATCTATTTATACCGTATAATGAAAGAACGTCGCTAAGACGTTACTAATGATGTTTTCCAACAAGAGATACGATGTCTCGGTGAATCATAATATCTTTATGTTTACCAAAAATGAAACGATCACTGTGTTACACTGTATCTCCTGCTGGAAAGCAATCATTTGTTGAAGTGTAAATGTTCTTTCAACATTGAATCTATATCGAGTTTCCTACATTGATTATTAATGTGTTAAATCATTTTATGATGATATAAAATGTTGAATGGATGCTGAGATGTTGCAATATCGAAATGGTGATGTTTCTTCAACACTGAATCTACATTTCGTGAAGTTGATGCAACCTTCGCATTTCTGAGATATTGATTCAACATTAGTGTGCTGTATATGAGATTGCTTTCTTCCATCACGTCACGATGCATACCACAGCTTGTGGAAATAGCCGAAGATTACATCGAACATAAAAAATAAATACGAGCAAAAATAAGGAAAATTTCGAAGGATATCTTTGCAGTACAGCGCGGTAACGCGGAATATATGAAAGCAGCATGTAATACCTATATTTTGCATGATCCTGATGTACATCGCTTCACTTACGTTTGACGATGCATGAGTCGGCAGTCTCGGGTCAAGAAACTTTCTTTGTGATTCTGCAATGGCTAACGATTGAAGCATGACTCACGTTTTCGCACGGCGTGTTAGACGCACTGAAGCAATGGAAATACACGAGCTGCGGTTGCTCCTTTTTTCTCAAAGGACACGGCGAGAAAATGATAAATGAATGCTAATGTCATGTCAGTTGAATGTGTGATAACTGAAGAATAGCCGCAGAAAAATATATTGTTAAAATCACGCGTAATTTGTATAATTCATGGTCAGCTGTTACATAATATAGCTACGTTTGCTGTTCCTGCAGCTCCACGTAGAGAAGCACGAAGTTTTCCGCATTGAGCAAATTCATGTGAGGTGTACAAAAACAGTGATAATAAGCACTTGACGGTATATCATTATTTCAACTATTTAATAGAACGGTCTGGCAAATAAAATGTCACAAATAAAACGAATTGCTTGAATGCCGACAGTAAAAGAGTAGATATTAATTTAAAATAGCTTAAGCAAAACATTTTTATATATTATGTAACCGTATCATTTCATTTTTATATATCTATTACAAATTATTGATTACAAATTATCGCACTGCAAGACAATTAATCTTATCTTCCTTATTTTTCCCGTAATTTAATCATTATTTCATGCAAATGCAAGTATACATGTATATCTAATGTATACATTAGTGTATGTACATAAAAAAAAGACGATAAGGAAATATCATTATATGCTAGTATCGTATTTTTTCTGTATATTTTAGCCATTCCAATAATATCAGTAACAAGACCGTGATAAAAATGTATAATGCAATCTGCCTGCATAAACAACTTCTACAAATAATATTAAATATTCAAATATTAAAATATTCAATAATATTAAAATATATCTATTAAGTATTTCCTGATGCGAGCAATTATTTCTTACATTACAAATACATTTCATTTAAAAAAAGTGAATTTTTTAGAGTTCATTAGTTCTTGTGTTTGACAAAGAATCTTCCGATTCGCTAAGCAGACAAAAATTATATCTTTACAACCGACTGATATGAATAACTGGTTCAAGGAGATGTGTAGAGGTCCATTTTCCCTCGCTTACTTCATATATCTTATAAAAAATATTAACGATGACGCATAGTTTCATCTTCTATTTATAAATCACCTACAATCTTACTAATGGACTCTACCGGCAATTAATTTTATAGTTGCTACTACTATTAAGAAGGTTGTAAGATAAATGCAAAATGTTAAGAATTACTTGAAAAAGTAATATTATTATAAATTATTCTAAATTGCATTTAAAAGTAATATAAAAAAATTAGAGACAGTTGATCATCTGGATTAAAAGTTATTTCAATAAAAAGTAATATTTTTAAAATTTGTACTCTAATAGAAATGTATGAAAATATATTATAAAATAATGATAAAAATCTCAATTTTTTTATACAAGTATTTTATGAATTCAAAAATATTTATGTAAAGTTACATTGAGATGCAGACATTAATTGTTCATTAAATAAAAACAAAATATTTATTTATAAACTAATTGGCGAATCTCAATGAAACTTTGCATAAGTCATTTTTAGTATTTAAAATATTTATATTTAAAAATTTAGATTTTTGTTATTATTTAAAAAATTTTTGTTTATAACAATACAACTAATATCAATAAAATAAATAATTTATAAAAATGTATTGCTCAAAAGTAGAATGTTATGAACACAACTTTCACATATATGTAGTTTGTTTAAAGCGATAATATTAATATATATTAATATATATTTTATATCCTTACAACCACTTTAAGATAGATCATTGTTTTTATTAAGATAATTCATTAATTTCATTGTTTTTAAAGTAAAGTTATACTCGTTTTTTATTTGGCAACACGACGTATCCCTTACATCATACTGATCACACCAATTAGTGTCCGATATTTTAATCGTAAAAATGTTACTGTTCTTCAGGCGTGAAATGCCACTTGACTTTCTATTAAATTTACAGAATCAAAGACGATTCTAAGGGGACTCAGTGGGCAATTCAAGTCGGGCGAGCTGACAGCAATTCTAGGTCCTTCTGGTGCTGGAAAATCGACACTACTCGACATTCTTGCAGGATACAGGTTATATTATTTAGATAATCGTAAAGTCTAATGACATTTAAACGTCGAATTAAATTGACTTATTATCTTTCTTGCGTTGTTAATTGTTAAAGGTCAATTAAATCCAGAAAAACCCAGATATATAGTATCTAACTTTACATAATGTGTTAATTAACTATAATCTGTAGTTATATAAGATAGTCTTTTGAAAAATTTCAGCGTAAGTAAAAAAATAATGAGAATATGTAACTTTTGACTATCAGTCTTTAATTCTGTAATTGTGTAATGCTTTAATGATTTTGAGATTGCATAAAGTGATCTTTTAAGAAATATCAGCATAAATGGAAAAAAAAATAATCAGAATACATAATTCGTAATTGCTTCTCGGCGATCATTCAATGATTTTATAACTAAAAACGTTATAATATTATAATGTTATAATATTAAAATAAATTACAATATAATAATATTATAATATTATAATATTATATTATTTCTACTTCGAGATTCTATTGATTTTAACATTCTTGATCAGGATTAGATATTTATATCAGTATATTCATGTAAGGTTCTGTTTATGTTAAACACTACATTAATTGCGTAAAACTTTACAACAAGCTTTAACCGTCATTGACCTCGGAATCAACCTACAGATCGGAATAATTAATGATATTAAAATTAATGCAATACATTGTGTTAAACTACATCCTATAAAAACAGCAAGCGAAAGCTTCTTTATGTATATAAAGAAATAAAACTGCTGCATTACAGATGTAGGGACATAGGTGGCTCGATAAATATTAATGGACAATTGCGAGACATGCGCGAATTCAAAAAAATGTCGTGTTACATTATGCAAAACGATCTCGTACAACCGAATCTCACGGTTTTCGAGGCAATGTCCTTCGCCGCCGACTTAAAGATTGGTAGAAGAAAATCGAAATCTCAAAAATGCGCTATTGTAAGTAAACACCTCAGCCTTTTACTATAATAGTAGTAACATACAGCGTATACCGAAAAATGACTTAAAACTGATGTAAGATCGAAGAGCTTTAAATCACAAATAAAGAAAAAATTAATTTAATGTGCGAAATTACATCTTATTTTAAAGCAGTAAGTGATAAGAAGTTTTTTGGTATATCATAAAAACATGAAATTTTCTTTTTCTATACAGTAATAAAATGATTTGAAATTTGAAGAATAGAAATATGCACAATAAAACTGTACTAAACGACGAATCGATCAATTTTTCAGAAACAAACTCTCTAAATTTCTTTAAAGATCTGTCGATTAAATGTTCATTAATAATTTAGTTGTATATAATTGAGTTGTATAAAATTTAATATCGTCAGCTGTTTTTTTGTACAAATCAAATCATCATAATAACCATATCTTCCTCGTTTTTCTGCGATGAAGATTTTTATTTCCACATGATATCGCTCATGATCTAGTTTCAATAATTTGTTTACAATCGTTTAACAAATTTATCTTAAATGTCTAGTAAGAATTTTTCTTATTAGAGAAAAATGCGTCAGCGTAATATTTTAAACGTAACTATATTATATTAAACGTTTTCTAATTCGTAAAAATATTATTTATATTAAAACTCGTAAAAATTAAATTCGTAAAAATATTATTTATATTATTTATATTAAAACATTTTAATATAATTATGATTAAAAAAAGAAAGACACAAAATTTTCCACAAATTGTATGTGAATGAATAATTTGATTATTTATAATCGTTTTAAATCTCTTTTTTGCATTTATTTTATGTAAAATTGCGATTCACAATTCAATGTTTAACATTTTTCATGCGAGATTGAGTGGCCATCAAATAAAATTCATCTTTTTTGTCATGGGTATCACATGTAAAGTAAATCACAAAGACACACTTCGCAGAATCTTAATAATTGATTTCAGATAGATGAGATCTTAGGAACACTTAAATTAACCGGAACACGAGATACACTTACAGATAGACTCTCCGGCGGTGAAAGAAAGAGGTTAACAATTGCACTCGAGCTCGTAAATAATCCGCCTATTATTTTCCTTGATGAACCGACTACGTAAGTATCACGCCGATTAATTATTTTTATCTCTCTTAATTAAATATACTTTAGTTGAATTATTTTTTATAAAAGGAATTATTGTACATATAATATACTTCAGGATGTAACTAAAATAAGGTAACTTCGAAGCTGAGTTTTCCACACCAAGACATGAAGTCCATATGAACATATATACGTGTTCGCAAATCCATTGTTACTGAGATAGAACTCAAACTGTTTAAGTATTATACAGGCTGTGTCTTAACGCACCACCTACTAATGGTAGATTTCTGAAGTTTGAGACTAAAATTCTGATACCAAAATGTCGGAGTTATAATCAGTTTTTGAATTATAATCATTTAAAACTAGTAAATTATATTTCTAAAATTTTTGCGCAAAGGTTTAGATTCAACGCAAAGTGTTAAAAGTAAAAGCTAATAGTTGTCTTTTATTAATATCGATATAAATACTAGGCGAAAATAAAATTACCGATATTCCCAATTCTTGATATTTATTATGTTAAAAAAAAATATTTAACTTGGATATTATGATATTTTCGTCTCAAAATGACTTCAGAAATCTGCCATTAGCAGGTGGTGTGTTAAATCTGAAACACTCTATACATAGCCCCCACGATTCCCCGATTTAAATCTTCTAAATTTTTATCTGAAAACACTTAAAGTCCTTAGTTCATGAAATTCCATCGAATCGAAGAAAGTTAATGAAGATGCTACGCATCTTGGATGCTTGTGATATCATTCGCAATTGCCCCGGTATCTCTATTGTATTTCTGAAAGAATGCAGCAGTTTTTCATGATCTGACGTATCCAAGTGTGTATTGAATTAAATGAGAGACACTTTGAACATTTATTATAATTAAAAAATAAAAATTAATAATATTAAATAATAAATATTACTTTTTTTTTTAATGTTTGAAGATGGCTAAACAATTACAAAATATAAATAATGGAGAGCATACAACAATAGATGTTAACGCAAGTCATATATTTAAAATTCACATATAAATAAGTAGACGTTTCGGTCAAGATTTGATCATCATCAGTACAAACGAGATGACAAAAAATAAAAACTTACAAAAGTCTTTCTGAGTCTCAATATGAAAATAGCATTACTCATCGAAACCCATTCTGGTACTATAATCGTATATATATGATTTTATTTTGCAAGATACCTGTGAAAATTGTAACTAGTGGATGTTGAATTGTTATTTGACAGTCATTTGTGCCAGTCGATGTCAGTAAAAATTTGTAAAAATAGAAAAAATCGAATATCGACGATCGCCGTAACAAAAATTTACGAATTGCGGTTCGAATTAATTAACTATCTATCGTATTCACCAGATCTCATCCCCAATGAGCTTTTCCTGTTTCCTAGGCTCAAAATTAGGATCGGAGGACACAGATTTTCATCAAACGAAAACATTGACATTGACTGACACAAATGACTCTCAAACAACAACTGAGAGTTCAAAATGGTTACAATTTTCACAGATATCTCGCAAAACATATAATATATGATTGTAGTACCAAAATGAATTTTGATGAGTCATGTTAAGGCTCTTCAAATGACCCTGGTATTCATATGAACTTTTTTTCATCTTTTAATGTGGGAAATTCAGCCTTGAAGTTTATTATCTTATTTTAGTTACACTCTGTATATACAATATATATGTATACATATATATCAAATATTTGTATAGATAACAATAAAAATCAGAGATGAATCACAATGAATCATAAATTACCTACTATATTTTAATTTGTTATTCCATCTACATTTAACATATATCCTATCGATCATCACATCACAATGTAATAAACAGGAAGAATTTAAATTGTTTAAATAATAATTTTATACCGAATTTTATACCGTTTAAATAATTATATTTATAAATAAATCTCTGCGAAATATGTAAAATCATCATATCATATCTACGTATTTCGAAAACGCAAATCTGTAAGAATCTGAGATATAGAAGAAAATTGATAGTTTATCCTAAATTCATTGTTAATTTCTAAAATCGCTATATTGTTCGCTGAACTTTCATGTCTATTATTTTATATTATTATTCACATAATTATTAAAATAAATTAAATCTTAATAATATTAAAACGTTCAGCTGTATATTGAATTATCATTCAAGAAAAACAGTATTCAAAGAAAAACAGACAAAGCTAATCTTGAGAGACCAATTATTTGTCTAAAAATAGAGAACTAAACATAGAGAAGTACAATGTATAAGTGTCTCATTTATCTTGAGTACAATACTTTTCTCTTCGACATAAGATTTAAAAAATTGTCGACACAAAGTTAATGGAAGTCGAGATTAAAAATCACGATATCATTATACAATATCATTATACATTTTTTTAAATAAGATCAATTCTCTTCCTCGTAGTTACAACATGCTAGATGACGAAACAAAATGCATAAATAGGCATAAATAAATTTATGCGCACAAAAGCAAAATACGTAACAATAGATCAAACATTTGTTCGCAGTAAATGTTTTAATGCGCATCTCTTTGAAATTTTATTGATCGCAGATATTTATTGTGCCGCTTTTAGCGTGTCTTTATGAATCTTGCGCGGAAATGCCGTTAGTCTTCACCTATCAGGCTATCATCACAAAAGTGCTATAAAAGATCTTTTTTTCTAGCGGACTGGACGAGCTCTCCTCTTCCCAATGCATCGATGTTCTCCAGAGCTTGGCGCGTTTCGGGCGGACCGTCATATGCTCGGTGCACACGCCCAGCGCGAGCACATTTAAAAAATTCGATCACATTTATGTTGTATCCAATGGACAATGCACTTATAGGGGTGCCGTAGGCAACGTGGTGCCGTTCTTGCAAAGCATAGGCTTAGAATGCCCGAAACATTACAACCCAGCGGACTTCAGTGAGTTATATACATAAGTCCATATACGGAAAATCTAATACCATCTGTGTAATCATGTTTATCACTTCGCTATGCAACGTGTGAAATAGCGGTAGACATTTGAAGAATGAAAATGTAGCCATTGGCAATTTTAAATTACTACTAAGATATTGCTATTCATGATGCATATAATTTATTTGCATCTGCGTTACTCATTAAGTAGGCTAAAAAATGTATGTTACATTATAAGTAGTATACAGTTCCGAAATCTCTTTTCACAAGTAAGTTACGTCTTATACTGTCAA